AAGACGCCGGCAGGCGTGGGAGCAGGGTGGTTCCCTCCGGTGGTGCCAAACCCAGGGAAACCAGAGCAGGAGGAGAGGGTGGGAGGGCCACGGAGCCCCCAGGGTGCAGAGGGGTCCCGCTGTCGCACAGGGATGAAGGATCACCCCCTCTCCCCGCACCCATCCCTCGTTAAACCGAGCTCCCGATCCTTCTCCAGCCTCGGAGCCGGGGTCACACCCGCGGTGCCCTGCGCAGACCCCGCCTCGGGGGGAAGCTGGGACGGAGCCGCGGTCCCGCGGGGAGCGGGCATGCCGGCGCCGCTCTGGCGTGGCACTGCACGGCACGGCACGGCATGGCATGGCACGGAATGGCATGGCATGGCACGGCACGGCACGGCATGCCACCGCGTGTCACCTCACCGCAGCCCGCCAGCCTGGCAGGCTCCGGCAGGCGGGAGGTGCCAACCCAGCTCTGCTTTTGCAGCCAATTAAAGGAGAAGGAGAGAAACAAAGAAGGAAAGGAGAGCCCGGCTGGAAGCGGCTGCCGGCTCTGCCAGGCGGAGGTGGGGCACGCAGCGCCCCTGTCCCCATCCAGCTGCGGGGCTGGCGGCCGCTCGGAGCGGGCAATGGCATCGCCACTGCGCGATGGAGAAGGAGCTGAGGATCCTGCAGCGGCGCCTGAGCGCGGCCGGCGGGCACAGAGCGGGCTGGCCAAGGGACACGCGACAGCAGCGGCACAGACCCGGCCCGACAGCTGCCAGCAGTGCATGTCCCGATATCCCGATATCCTGATGTCCTGGTGTCCTGATATCCCGATGTCCCCATACCCCAATATCTCCATGTCCCCATATCCTGATATCTTGATGTCCCCAATATCCTGATGTCCAATATCTCGATATCCCGATGTCCTCATATCCTGAAATCCCAATATCCCTATGTTCTGACATCCAAATATCCCAATATCCTGATGTCCCAATATCCCAATGTCCAATATCTCAATATCCCAGTGTCCTGATATCCCAATATACCTCAACGTCCCAATATCCTGATATCCCAATGTCCCAATATCCTGATGTCCCGATAGCCCCATATCCCGATACCCTGATGTCCCGATACCCTGATGTCCCAATATCCCAATGTCCCAATGTCCCAATAACCTGATATCCCAATGTCCCAATATCCCAATATCCTGATATCCCCATATCCCAATGTCCCAATATCCCAATATCTCCACATCCCGATATCCCAATATGCTGATTCCCCGATGTCCAGATATCCCAATGTCCCAATATCCCCATATCCCCATATCCTGATATCTCCATACCCCAATGTCCCAATACCCCGATATCCCAACATCTCAATGTCCCGATGTCCCGATATCCTGATATCCCAATATCCCGATACCCTGATATCCTGATGTCCCAATGTCCTGATATCCCAATATCCTGATGTCCCAATATCCCGATACCCCGATACCCTGATACCCTGATGTCCCAATATCCTGATACCCTGATACCTCAATGCCCCGATACCCCGATACCCTGATGTCCCCATACCCCGATGTCCCGATACCCTGATGTCCCCATACCCCGATATCCCGATACCCCGATATCCCGATGTCCCGATGTCCCGATGTCCCGGTGTCCCCATACCCCGATATCCCGATGTCCCGATATCCCGATACCCCGATGTCCCGATGTCCCGGTGTCCCCATACCCCGATGTCCCGATATCCCGATGTCCCGCTGTCCCCATACCCCGATATCCCGCTGTCCCGATATCCCCATATCCCGATGTCCCGGTGTCCCCATACCCCGATATCCCGATATCCTGATGTCCCGCTGTCCCGGTGTCCCCATACCCCGATATCCCGATGTCCCGATATCCCGATATCCCGATATCCCGATATCCCGATGTCCCGCTGTCCCCATACCCCGATATCCCGATGTCCCGATATCCCGATACCCCGATATCCCGATGTCCCGATGTCCCGGTGTCCCCATACCCCGATATCCCGATGTCCCGCTGTCCCGCTGTCCCCGCCGGGCCCGCGGGGGGCAGCGCGCTGTCCCAGCCCGCCCGGCCCCGGGGCACAGGAGCTGCGGCCGCGGCTCCAGCCCCACGCCCGGGCGGGCAGGGCCGCCCGCTCCTGCCCCATCCCGCCGCCTCAAGCTCCCGCTTCCCCAAGGGAGGCTCCGGCCCAGCCACGGGGCACGGGGACGGCTCGGTGTCTCCCAGCTGCTGGGAAAACCGGCAAAACCCCGCAGTTTTGGTTTTACCCCACCTCGTCATCACGAACATCTGCTGGTGGCCCCTCGCGGGGCGGGGCTCGGCCGGTGGGGGTTTGGCAAGTGGATTTTTGCAGGGAAAAACCATAAAAGGAGGCAAAATCTGGCACCGGCTGCTTGTCCCCAGGACTGCGGTCAGCCAGCACTCACAGCACGGCCTCGGCAGGGGTGAAGGAGCTCGGGGGATGTCTGAATGCTCCAAACACGACACCCATGCTGCAGTGTCATGGCCCAAAACCCAGTTTCCCAGACTGGTTTGGGTGTGGGTTGGAGCGGGCAGGGCTCTGCAGGGCCCCTCTGGATCAGGTTCCTTGTGCCCAGTGGGTGCCAGCTGCACCTGGGGGCATCCAGAGCATCCCTGGGACCAGGGGGGCAAGGGAGCAGGTCATGGATGTTGGGAAACCAGCTGGGGTGCGAAAGGTGCCCACGAGGGGACACTGGCACACTGGGAGCCGTGGAAAGGTGCCCAGAAGGTGACAGTGGCACACTGGGAGCCATGGGAAGGTGCCCACGAGGTGACAGTGGCACACAGAAATCCATGGGAAGGTGCCCAGAAGGTGACAGTGGCACACTGGGAGCCATGGGAAGGTGCCCACGAGGTGACAGTGGCACACAGAAATCCATGGGAAGGTGCCTGGGCTGGGCAGGGAAGACCAGCCAGAAATGGTGGCATCACCTCAGGATGTCACCATGCTGCTGTTTAAGGGACACCAGGGCCCAGGCTGGCCAGGGGGGCTCAGCTGAGCCGTGCCCTCCCTGGGCAGCCCCGCTGGTGGCAGAGCTGCTCCTGCAGCCACGGGGCAGCCCCACACACACCAGTGCAACCCCAGCCCCGTGACTGGGCACACTGGGAGCACAGCTGTCCCCAGCCCCAGAACAGAGGGCCCAGGACAGGTGGGGGGACAGGAGCCCACTGGTGCCATCCCCATGTCGGGGTGAAGCAGAGGAGGGGAGCAGGGATGGGGTCGGGGATCATCCCCGCTCCCTGAGGCTCCATCCCAAACCTCAGCTCTGCCTGCTCCAGGTGTCGTGTCACCTCAGGGTGGCCTTGGTCACCCCAGGGGACACCTGGGTGGCACTGCCACCTCCAGTGTTCTGGGGCTGGCTCAGCACAAGGCCATGGGTGGGCACCCAGACCCCTCACCCAGGATGAGGAGCTGAGGGTTGGAGGCATCTCCTCATGGAGGGGTGGAAGTTGCTGCCTCCAAAACCAGGAAGGAGCTCTGGAGAGCATCCCAAAGGATGAGCTGGTTCAGGGTGAGCCTGGACCGGGAAGGGAAAGGTCCCTGGAAAGGGATTGGAGCCTTTGGGGATGCCAACAGCACCAGGACACACGGGGGAAAGGTGGAGGGAAAGCCTGACCCCAATTAGCAGCAAAGTTCCTCCGGGTGTGAGCAGGAGCTCTCTCCCAGCCCAGGAGCTCGCACCTATTCAGCCTTCCCCCAAAATTAACAGATTAACATCTCTCAGATCTGGGATATCTCGGGGAATAATCACCAACAAACCTGCCTGGGAGCTGCGTGGTGAAAAGGAATGTGACCAAAAGCCAGGAGACTCCTGCACACCTGGAAAAGCCCCGCTGGATTTATCCTGGCTCGGGTGAGTGAAACACCAAGCGAGACTTCACAGCCCAAAGCGAGGGGACAGCTGGGGACACGGAGGCCATCCCCGCTGGGAATGGGGAGACTCCAGCCTGGGAATGATCCCACTGTGCTGCTCAGGGCTGAGCACTGGCTTTAAAGCTTCCCCATCCCCCCAGCAACAGCTCCTGCACCCCCCATCCGAGAGTGGGGACCCCTCCCCACCCACTGCCTTCTGGAGGATGAAGAATGAACAGGAGCTGGGAAGAAAGTGCCTGTCAGCAGGACGCCACCATCATCTCCAGAGGGCTCTGGAGCCCGTTTCCATCGCTGCGTCCATCCATCCATCACCTCCCGTCCCCGGGGACAGCACGAGCTGACCCCACACATTTCAGCAGTCCCTCCCTGCTCTCCTCGCCCTCACGGGCCCGGCACGGCCGCGGGGGCAAGTTGGAGGCTGCCGATTCTCCATTAACGCACCACCCTGCCGGGATAATTAATCGCAACCTCGCCGGCGCTGGTTTGAGCAGAAACCCCCGGATCCCCCCCGCGCTCCCTTCGCCGGCTCCTCGGGCAGAGCCTGATGAAGATTGATTCGCGGGCGGCGGCAAGCGCGGCACCGAATTGTCACGAAACCCTACAGCTGAAGCCCTACAATCCCGTGAAAAGCAACGCTCTCCTTTCCCCTTGCCACCCGGTGTCCCCGCCGCGGGTCCCGCTCAGGAGCAGGAGAGTTTCCAAAGTGCTGCCAGCGGCTCCAAGTTTCCCTCTCGCCCCGACTCAGGGGACCGGGCACCCCGAGACGCATCCGTGGAGTCACCAGGATGGGAAACCGCGGGCGGGAGCGAACTCGGAGGGAAGAGATTGCAGTTGGGAACAAAGCTCACACCTGCTGGAGACGCAACCTCGGGCACTGACGGCGCAGGGAAGGGGTCCCCATCCACCTCCCCGGCCAGCACTGGCTCGAGGCAGGAGATGAGGGTGGCACTGCCTATCTTTTAGATCAGCATTTTTTCTTTTCTGTGCGTTGTCTTTAGGTGATGGTGAGGCATCCCCAAGCTGGTCCCAACACAAGGTCACCGCCGAGGCGGCGCGGGGAGCGGTGACAGGCAGCATCTCGCACAAAGCACCCCCGGCATGCCGATGAGCCTTACCAGCTGCAGGCAGCAGAATCCCACCAGCGTGCATCGCCCGTTGCATCTCCCCATGGCTCCCCAGCCGGATGCTCGGGGCTCCCTCACCGTGGCCTCGCTCCGCCGCCGCGCTCCAGCTCCTCACCAGCCGCCCCTCGGCCACCCGGGGAGCGTCACGGGGGGCTCCAGCACCATGTCCCGCTCTCCAGCCTCGGGCCAGCCCCGCCGGCTCAGCACAGCGGCGGGCTGGGCTCGGCGTGGGGCATCGCCCCCTTCTCCCTCCGCCGCCCGCCCCGCTACAGCCCGCTGGGGCGGCGCGGGGGCCGCGGGGCCGCGCAGCCCTGGCCGCCCATGCCCGGCCCGGCCCGGCGCGGAGCCGCCCGCTCCGCTATTGTCTCCCGCACAGCCGCGCTCCGCGCCCCGGGCGGGCGGGGCCGGGCGGCGCGGCCGGAACAAGGCGGGCCGCGGCGGGCGGCGGGGCGCGGCGGGCGGCGCGGCCGGGCGGGGCGGGGGCCGGGCGGGCACAGCGCGCCGCGCCGAGCCCTTGGCGGCCTCCGGGGGCGCGGGCAGCGCGGCCCCTGCGCCGCGCCGCGGCTGCCGCCCGGCCTTATCCTTGATCAGCAGCGTTTGTCTTTGAAATCGCCGGTTTTTATGATGATTCTTTTTTCGCCTCCGGAGCCAGGTGCGGCTGGGTGAGACCCTGGGGAAGGGCTGCGAGATGCGCCCCCCGTTTTCCCCCCGCGTCTCCCGCATCCCCCGGCCCTGCGGCCCTTGGGCGGCGCCTGGACCCGCAGCACAGGGACCCCGCCACCTCCCCTGGGGTGGCCATGCCAGCACAGCAGCTGGGCTTCAGGGGAGGACAGATGGCCGGGCCCGGAGGGAGCGCCCCACATCCCCCCGCAGAGCCCCGCAGCGCAAAGCCCCGCTCGGCACACGCGGCTGGGGCCAGGGGCGAGTGCCGGCCGCGGGCAGGGAGCCTGGGCAGGGAGGTGGGTGCAGGCAGGGCGGACACGGCCCCTCACCGCCACCCACCCGCTCGCCTTTGTTCTGTTTTCACAGCACACCTTCAGGGACATCGCAGAGTGCGAGGAATCGCCGGGATGCTTTAGAAACCTCTGGCTGAAATGCCGCCTGGCAGAAGCACTTAGAAACAGTTTGCTGCTTTTAATTTCCATGATTTCTTAAACCTCAGTGCTGATGTTCAGAAGGAAACATCTCCTAAACCCACCTCACGCTGCCTTAGGTGTCAGAGCATCCACACGGCATCTGAGGGATGAAGCTGCGTTTGTGTGTGTGGTCCAAACCCATCCGAGCTTGCCAGGGCTCATCCCTGTGTGCTGCTGGGACCAGCCTGCAGCACCTCCCACACCTGGAGCTTCTCCTTCCTCCTCCACGAGGGGGATTTCTCTCCCCCCCGGGGCTGTTTTGTGCTCCCGGGAGCATTTGGGGAGTTCGTGCGTGTTTGAAGGACGGGGCTTTGCAGAAAACGCCTGGCTTTTGTGCATTCAGACACACACAGTGCAAAGATGCAGCGGGTTCCTCAGGGGATGCTCTGAACCGGGCTCCTGGGAGCAGGAGCAGACTCAGATGTGGTTTATTCCACCCTGGCCTGGCTGAGTGACCTCCAGCAGCCCTGAGCATTCCCAAACCTTGCTCTGCACGCTGCCAAGGATCCCAGCTGTGGGCTGGGCCATCCCTCCCAGCTCTCATGGCTCCAGCATCCCCAGGCTTTCACACGGGACAGGTCCCATCACCTTCATCCCGTTCAGTCCCAGGCCCATGAGGGTTATCCTGGCACAGCCACAACTCCAGCATTCAGCTTTTGGGCTCCTCTGGGATTAAACACAGCAGAAACTCAGAGCAGAGGGGTTGGCATCACCACAGGTCAGAAATGATAAGGACCAAAGCACCCCACAGCATCTCCTTGGCCATGGCCAGGCAAATCTGCCCAGCTCAAGCCTCCTGCCCCCAAAAACAGCAGGAAAAGGCAAAACACTCTGATGGAAAATCATAAATTCCCATCCAATGGCGTCGAGATCCCACCTGGCTCCTGACCAGGTGGAGTTTTGCAAAGAATCAATTTTAGATTAAAAAAAGGTCAATAAACCCTGTCATGCAGCTTCCCTGGAAGGAGAGGAGACAACTTCATCCAGGAGAGGCTGGGGAATGAGCCCAGGGCTTTGTTCTGCTCAGAACCTGCCACTCCACACGCCCCACCCTGGGGTTTATGTGGAACAAAAAGCCTCAAATGGCCAAAATTACAGAGAAAATACCTGGTGGAAATCCAAAAAGGGTCATGTAATCAATTGGGAGGATGGGAAATGGGGGGAAGCCATCAGGCTCCACACTTTGGTCCCCAGCTGTGCTCTCACCAAGCCCTGTTGTGCCTCAGTTTCCCCAACACCCCTAGTGGAGTCAGAGCCTCATCCCAATTCTCCCGTGGGACAGAGAAGGGAGAGGAATGACCCCCATCAAGGCTGAGGCTTCATTTCTCTGCCACCCCAGATGCCTGGTGGGGTGGCAGGGATGTCCCCTGTCCCCCATGGCCACCTGGCCCTGGCAGGGGCTGGATCTGACCCAGCTGAGCTCTCCATCCCCAGGGCAGCAGCAGCCAGATGGGATCTCTTCCCCAGGTACACAAAATCCTCTTTCCACTAAACCCGAGTGTCTGAAGTCAAAAACCATCTGTATCTTTATGCCAGAGAGAGCTCCGCTTGCCAGGGGTATAAACAGAACACAGAGAAATCAGGTTTTTTCACTAAACTGATATTTTTATACCAAAGTCAGGTTTTTGTCTATTTGGGCAGGGCTGGAACAGCCTGGGGACAGGGACAAGGGACATCCCAGTCCCAGGGCCAGGGATGGGGGAAAGGATAGCCCAGCTTGGGTCAGGAGTGCTCCAGCCCTGGGGGCAGTGACTCTCCAGCCCTGGATTCCGGGGATGCCCCAGGTTTGGGATCAAGGGTGTCCCAGTCCAGGGGTCACATTGCTCCAGCCCTGACTCCTGGGATGTTCCAGAGCCAGGTCAGGTCAGGAATGCTCCATCCTCGGGGTCATAAATGCCCCAGGCCTGGGGTCAAGGATGCTCCAGACCTGGCCCCAGGGATGTCCCAGACCCGGGATCAGGAATTCTCCATCCCTGGGGTCATGGAGGCCGTGGCTGTGGGACCAAGGGCGCCCCATCCCATGGTCAGTGAGTGACACTCCAGCCATGGATACCAGGGGTGTCCCAGCTTGGCACTGAGGATGTCCCAGTCCTGGGGTCAAAAATGCTCCAGCCCTGAGTTCAGGGATGTCCCAGAGTCAGGATCAGGAATCCCGGGGGTCATGGATGCCCTGGGGTAAGGGGTGCTCCATCCCTGGGGTGGAGAGGCCCTGGCTGTGGGGTCAAGGATGCTCCGGCCCTGGGGTCAGGGACATCCTGGCCCCGGGGCCAAGGATATTCCATCCCGGGGCTCAAGGCTGCTCCAGCCCTGACTCCAGGGATTTCCCAGGCCCAGGACCAGGCCCAGCCCAGCCCCAGGCTGGAGAGGGCTTGGAGCACCCAGGGATAGTGAGCAGGGGTGAAATGGGATGAGCTTTACATCCCTACAACCAAACCACTCCGGGATTCTGTGACTTCCCCAGCCACCTCCAGGAAGAAACCCACATTTATTTAAGCAAACTTTCCCCAATTTGAAGATAATTAGCCCCCAGCTGCCAGTCACCATCAGCTCTGTGGATCCCAGGTAATGGACCAGGCTCAGGCGGCTGCTGGAGAATTGATGGATGAGTTAAAATGAGTTCCCACCATTCCTTCTCTGTTATCTTATCTCTGTGCTGGGGAGAAGGGCAGCACATCACAGGATCCATCATCATCATGATGCCTTTGTAGCTCGCAAAATTCATAATTAACAAAAAATTTCTATTCACTTGCTCATGTAATTTAATTAGCTTTCCATTAAACGCAGACTAAACAGCATCTATTCCCCACCAGAGCAAATAATTGTTTTCCATTCTTTCAGAAATCATCCTTGGAACTCTGAATTCATTAGGGAGCAGCAGTGGGAAAAGGTGGGGAAAGGAAGGGAAAAGCTGCAGGAAGGAGAGGCAGGGGCTGAGAGGGGGCGGGGCAGGGCCGGAGCTGCCTTTGGCTGAGCCGGGATGTGCCGGGATGTGCCGGGATGTGCCGGGATGTGCCGGGATGAGCCGGGATGTGCCGGGATGTGCCGGGATGTGCCGGGATGTGCCCACTGACCCCGAGGGGGGTGCTGGATCCATCCCGCTGCACCCCCGGAGCTCTGGGTGCTGCCTCCACCTCGCACCGGAGGAGCCTTTGGGCTGCCAAAGGGTCAAGAACGGGATGGGGACGGGGACAGGGATGGGGATGCTCCCCAGGGCAGCCTCGGGGTCACTTCCAGCCCCCCAGTCCCCACTGGGATTGGGGATCAGCCCCCCCTGCCAGCCCAGCCCCGTGGAACCGGGGCTGTTTATCCGGATCCCAGGAATGATTTAATTTCCAGTGGAAATCTCTCAAGCAAATACCTCCCTCGGAGGAATAAACCTGTTTAAGGAAACAATTTTCTCTGCGCTCAGATGAGGCTCGAATGCTTTGCTGCAGCCATGGCCCGGGGCTGGCTCGGATCCACTGCGGGATGGGAGCCAGGAGAGACCCGGGCTGCCCCGGGTGCAGCTGGGACCAGTGGGAACAGGGGGGGCTGGCCCCAAATCCCCCTGGATGCTGTTGAGAACCAGTGAAAATGGGGAAAACTGGCCCCAAATCCCCCTGGGTGCAGCGGAGAACCAGCAGGAATGAGGGGAACTGGCCCCAAATCCCTCTGGATTCTCTGCTGCCCAGCACAGTGCACTGTCCTGTGCCCAAGGGGTGGTGGTGGCAGTGGCCATGCTGGCCCTGGCACCTCTGGGGTGGTCAGTGCCAGCACTCCAAGGTGGATTCCAGCTCTCCAT